GGTTCTTTTATTTAAAAAATTAACAAACTGACAAGCCTTTACTAGACAAAGGGGGAAAAAAAAACACTGAAATTACTAAAATCAGGAGTGGAAGAGGGGACATTTCTACAGACCTTACAGGAATTTAAAAAGAATTATAACAAGAGAACACTATGGACTACATGACAACAAATTAAATAACCTACATGAAATGGACAAATGCCTAGAAAACCCTGCAGTGTTGAAACTGACTCATGAAGAAATGGAAAATCTGAATGGATTTCCTTCTCCGTCTCCTACACTAGTTCCTCCTTCTTTCCCTGGCGTGCTGGTGTCCTCGCTGGTGTCCTCCTCTCAGACTATCCGTCTTCACTGGGCCGTCAACTTCTACCTCACTGACAATACATAGATCTATTACTTTGCATAGTTGTGTGTGTGTGCTCAGTTGTGTCCGACTCTTTGCGACCCTATGGACTGTAGCCCACCTGGTGCCTCTGTCCATGGGATTCTCCAGGCAAGAATACTGGAGTGGGTACCCATTTCTTTCTCCAGGGAACCTTCTCAGCCCAGAGATCAAACCCGTGTCTGCTTGCATTGGCAGGCAGATTTTTTTTACCACTGAGCCACTGGGAGGCTTTACATGGTTGACCTCTGTTAAACTCTACGCCTAAATTTCTAACACAACTTGCATGGTCTATAGATAAATCAGTGCAAAATCCCCAAACCAGAAATCATTATCCTGTGTCATACTTTAGTCTTGGTTTATATTAATACAGTTTACTTTGTCCACTTAACTTAAAAGGCTTCATTCATTGTCTTCTCTTGCATAATCTGTCTATTCTGTCTCTTAAAGCTTAATTTGAAATCTTTCCTCTTCTTTAAACTCTCATTCTCAGTGCTTTAATTTGAACCTTCCTTATCTTTTACCTCATCTGTTGTATTAACCTCCTAATTGATCTCTCTGCCTTCAGCTCTTCCATAAACCAGCATCTAATGGTGAATAGCATTACTTTGCCAAAACACAGGCCAAATTATGTAGCTGTCATGCTGCAGTCCACGGGGTCGGTATGAGTCAGACACAACTGAGCGACTTCACTTTCATGCATTGGAGAAGGAAATGGCACCCCACTCCAGTGTTCTTGCCTGGAGAATCCCAGGGACGGGGGAGCCTGGTGGGCTGCTGTCCGTGGGGTCGCACAGAGTCGGACACGACTGAAACAGCTTAGCAGCAGCAGCAGCAGCAGCAGCAGCAGCAGCAGCAAGGCTGAAAACCTTTGAACTACCTCCCCCCACCCATTATGAACTGCCGCCCATTATGTGTCAGATCTAAATCCCTTCATGTGGCATACAAGACTTTAGTGTCCATGCCCCCCACCTCAGCCTCTTATCTAGCCCTCGAGTCTGCTAACTCTATTAATTATTTAAAACCTAATGATTCAGCTCTAGAAAAGCCTCATGAAACTTTTACATCTTCTGTGTATCCACAGCAATTTGTCTATAATGCAGAGCTCATCATCCTAACTAATACATATTGTAATTTTTTGTTTATATATCCAGGCTGTGAATTCCTTGAGGGCATGGATCTTATTTAATTTATCTTGTATTCCTAGTGCTTGCTTTAGTACTTGGCACATAGTGGATCTCCTTGTCTGAATTCTGTCATGGTGGGTGGTTTAGTCACTACATCGGTCCGACTCTTGCCACCCCATGGACTGTAGCCCACCAGGCTCCTTTGTCCATGGGATTTTCCAGGCAAGAATACTGGAGTGGGTTGCCATTTCCTTCTCCAGGGGATCTTCCTAACCCAGGAATCAAACCCGGGTCTCCTGCATTGCAGGCAGATTCTTTACTGACTGAGCTATGAGGGAAGCCCATATTTTGTCAAAGTCTTTATTTACTGCTTAGTTTTAATATTTATTTACAAGGTGTTACTTGACTTTAAAATCTGTTTCAAGTATTCCTGGCATAATGGATAAGAACAAAGACTCTGGGATCAAACTGCTCCATCGTCTTCCAGCTGTGGGGTCTTAGACACACTAGTTAACCTCACCAAGCCTCCATTTTTCAATTTGGAAAAATAGAGAAAATAATAATACTTATGCCATTTAAATTGTGAGAATTAAGTACATATAAAGCACTTAATATAATGCCTAGAACAGTATGCTTCATATTATGCATGCTTTATTATTATTATTATAGTTATTATTTCCATTAGTTTGTTCATTCGCAAATATCAGGTGTTTCACTCTGCCAGGTACTGTGGGGTAGTAACAGAACAGCATAGATAGGGCCCCTGTATTCATGGGACAATAATTTCAGTTTGTACTAATTATTGTAAAGTTATTTTAAGAACTGCTGTAAGTGGTGGTGAAGAGTTACTGTTTCAATTAAATTCTAGTTGTTCCATGCTTCCAAAAATTGGTGCATATTTAATGAACTAACTTTAATAAGTAGTTTCATTAATTGCATATATCTAAAATATAAGAGCAGTGGGTACACTATGTTATAAAGTATGAGATAAGAATTCATTAAGCTCTTCCCTAAGGCAGTGAAGATGTACCAGGGAATCCTAGAGAATTTGCTACTGACTTTGTATTTTGGTTACCCAATAAAGATCTACTTTATTTGATTTTTATCTTTTTAAAAGTAGGGTGGTTTTAGTATCAAGAGATAAATAGTATTTTGTATTACTTATAAAAATATTTTATAAAGAGCATTCCAAAGGTGTTAAATTTAGTATGACCTTTTGTTATTAGATGACTTAAATGCCTTTGTAATAGAGATACTGCATTTAACTGTTACATAATAAGAAGTTGGAGTCTTGAGGGATGGATAGTAAGAAAATACTTTAAAATGATTCTTTGTTTCTTTGAAGCTGAAGAAAAGAGTAAGTTGGCCCGTTGACAGTCATTTTATCCTTTCACTGTTACTACAGTTTATTAGATAACTTCGTTTTGCAGACATATGTAAAATGTATGTAAAGTGATATACATACATTGTACACATTGTGAATTATTGTTCCTATTGTACTTGTTCTTGCTAGTTATGGCCCCTTTCAACAGAAGCACAGAGAATGAGAGAATAATGTGATAACTCAGATGCAAAAGAGAAGTGTGGACTCATTAACTAAATTAAACCTGGATTGTATTTATATTTTAAATTAGTGGACTGATTCTTTTTGAACATTGGATTATATTTCTCATCAGTCTGTTAAAGTCTGTCCTTCTGGTTCTTGGTCTGTGACTTCCTCACTTTATAGGAAGCTTTTTCAAAGATTGCCCTGTCTCATGTTCCATTTATTCTTTAACCCATTATGGACTGGCTTCTACCCCTTCCACTCACCAGTAACTTCCTAATTGTTTATATTACTGAGCTCTTCTCAGCCACTGGCCACATCTACCTTTGAATTCTGTGACCTTTATCTCTCGTAGGTTTCTCCTGCCTTTCAGGATATTACTCTGTTCCCTTCATGGGCTCTTTTGTTTCTACTTATGCTTTTCAGATGTTTAGTTTTCTAGAATTCCATTCTTAGGTTTCTTGTCTTCTCATTCTTTATTCTTTCAACTTGGAAATCTTCTATTTATGTTTGTAGTTCCATCTGCCTTCTATGAACCAATCATTCCCCAGTAAATTTCTGGAGCTCAGTTTTTTGTCTCAGACTTGAAATTACAATTGTCTGCTGAATTCACCTGGTTGTCTTCAAACTCAACATTCTGATAGCCCTTAAAATCTATACAACTTACTACATTCTCTTATTTTAGTACAACTTTTTATTTAATTGTGCCCATTTCTAGTCAGTAACTACATCTTTAGCATCTCTCAGATCTATCCTGTTTCTTTTTTCTATATCTGCTATAATACATTAGATTGAAAAAAGGTTTAAGCCCTGTTCTCTCTTGTGATATTGTAACTGTCCCAGAATGACCATTCTGCCTCCATAATTGACCTCCCTATAGTCTGTCTTCTTCATTGCTACCGTGGCAGTGATCTAAAATGGAATGTTTTAAGTGTTTTTCTTTCTGTTAAAATTTTTTAGATGCTTCTCACACTACTCAGCAGTGGTTTTCAAATATGTGGATGTTTCAAAAACATCCATGGCCTGTCTGCTTTTGGGTCAGAGAACTTTTGAAAGCTCATATCCTGTATCTTTCCCCCATAGATTCTGATTCAGTAAAAAAAAAAAAAAAAGTTTAGGAGTTTTCAAAAAGTTCCCCAGATAATTCTAATAAGCAGCTAGGGTTAGAAAACACTGACCTATACATGTGGTTCAGATTCCTTATTATGAATGAGTCCAAGATCCTCCAGGATCTGGTGCCTGCCTATTTCTCCAGTACTATCTCATTCTGTTATCCCATCCCTCCCTTCATTCACTGTTCTCCAGCCAGATTCCATCTTCTGGTCCTGGAAGCCACCAGACCTGATCCTCTTTTAGGACCCTTGTTTGCGGTTGCTGAATCAGATGCAGAAGCCTAGTCTCTCTCTGCTCCACCTCTGCTTCGCTCTGGACCCCAGCCACTAGCACCTCCTTGGATTTCACATGTGAAACTCAGGTTGAAAACTGCTGAGCAAATCCATATCAGTGGGGCCCAGAAAGATGAAGTGATTCACAGAGTCTATAATGGTGAATGGCAGGCCATATCCAAAATCCAGGATATATATTCCTAACATAGTTCTTGTTTATAGCTCTTCTTTCTTTTATATGTATCATGTCTGAGCAAGTTGATTTGAAATGACCTCTTAATTGTTTCCTTCCTAAATAAATAATCATTCATTAGCCCCCTCATTCATTTGTTTATTCATTTAGTAAACAGTTAAACTTTACTATATAAAGAGCAGTGTAGGATATGGAGAGAGGTGGGTAGAAATTTTGAATAATACTCATTTCCTATCATTAAGATTCTTAAGACAGATTTTTATATTCAGTCATTAAAATAACATACAGAAAAACAAATTATTAATTTTTAAGAAGAGAAACTATAGTATAACCTTTTGTACTGTCTTGTATCTTTCTTTTTATCCAGGGAAAGACCATGTTTGTAGATTTATTGGTTGTGGGAGGAATGATCGATTCAACTACGTGGTCATGCAGTTGCAGGTAGGTTACTTTGAAAATGTATCTTAAAATTGACCAATTTTGAACACAGTACCTAATTACAGTAGATATGAATAAAATTAACAACATTCTTGGTAACATTGCAGAATGTTTTATACTATGCAGATGGTATATATTTAAACAGACCTGGTGATAACAGATTTTTCCAAAGATGGAAAAATCAACTGTTTATCAACTGTTTTCTCTGATGCACATCTTCGTTGATTGTCATCATTGCCAAGTTTTTGATCCCCACATGGATTACCGGATATAATGAGTTTTGCCCTGTTCCTGTCCCTTCCTTCTCTGTCATTTATTATGTTAGGGACTCTAGGTTCCCATTTTCACAAGTATCCACCTTGACTGTTTGAAAATTTTAAAATGAGATGGAGAGAAATGCTGTTCTTCTTTCTCTTTACTATTAACATAGCTCTGTTCTCCTGTCCTTGAGATGGAGAGTGGAGTTGGGTTGGGTAGCAGATGACAGAAATTCAGAAAGGGAGCATTGAAGTAATGACTGCAGCAAGAAGAGGGAAGTCAGCCCATTCTCTCTGACACTGCCCCTGCCCCTGCGCCTGAATGAACACATGCGTGTGCACACACACACACACAGTTCTGAGCCTGTACTTACCGTCAAAGTGTGAAAGCCATGGTTCACTTTGCTGCCTGACTTAAGAGAACTTAGGGTTCTCAGGGTTTCCCTTCATCTTTAGCAAAGTTTGTTTTAGGCATTTGGTTCTTTTGTTTATTCATTTTTTCAGCTTAACTACTTAGTAGTGATTTCAGAGACAAAAATCCTCACCTAGATTCTTCCTCTTCTTGTTTCCCTCAGCTATCCTTCAGCATTTGATTTAGATCTATAGACATTAATTTCCTGCAGACTATTGTCTTGATACCTCTGAGTCATGTGATTCACTACTCTTGAGCTAGCATAGTTTTTTTACTTGAAGCAGAATACCTGTATCTTTTTAGGTCATTAATATGGACCTTGCCATCTCTCACTTTGGCCTATAATAATAATATAACTTTTGTATGCTATTTTATAGTTTTTTTCTTCTGGATTTATTATGCATCTTACTTGATCCTTATCATTTCCCCTGAAGAGGATAGGGAGGGTTTTACCCCCATTTTGCAAATGAAGAGACTTTAGCTCAAGGAGGTTTGAGGTTTTCCTGGGACTGACTAATTTGATGGGTGTTAGGACTTACTTGATGGACGCCTTGGGCCAATATTCTTGGCACAATAAGAGAAAACTTTATTTTTGTGTATAGGCTACTACTGACTAGACGATGTGGAGATGCTTTTTAAGTCTATAGAGTCTCTCTCAGTCCTAGCATATAGTCTTTTTTATTTTATTTACACTCAGCTTAATCTCACTTCTGGAAATGAGACAGATGCAAGGATGGAAAACTAAGGAGGATGGTGTTTATCAGGCAGTGATGGCTCTTGTGACCTTTGCAAGCTCCTGTGGACTCATCTAAGAATGCTTTGATTTGACTTGCATGCTGGTTTGTTTGTTTTTTCTCCATCATAAAAAAATTAACCCACCATTAAGTTCCCACCTCTATATGTTTGACTTGATTTAAGACTAAAGCTGGTATAACTGTTTGAGGGTTCTTTCTCTTGTTGGACATATTAAAGTTGACTGCTAGGGTTTCCCCATATATTTTGACAAAATTTATATGCTCAGGCCCAGTTTCTCACCGACATTTCTAATTTCTTCTAAAAACCCTCATTGTTCTTAAGCTAACTTTAGTCTTTTGCCTCCTGGTGATTCAGTTATATAATATCTGCCTTTAAATTTTTAAGGAATAATCCTATTTCTCCTGTAGAAATTCTAACTATTTACCATGAAAATGGGTCTGAAATCTAATAGGGCTCAAGCAGTCATACCCGTTTATTTTCTCATATCTACTAGGAAGACCGTGGCCAGGTCTCGTTTGCTATCCTGTCACCATTGAGGCTTTTATGTGATCATCCTTATATAGCCAAAGGACGGTATTTTGTGATAAACATATCACCTAGGAAAGGGCAAAAAATGTTTTGAATCCTGTAACCAGCATAGATACAGATCTAGATTGCCTAACATCAGGGCTGCCGTATATTTTTAAACTTTTTATTATTGTGGAAAAAATTAAATATAAATGAAAGTAGAGCTGTATTCTGCCTTTCTTCTCCTTCCCCAGATGATTTCAAAGCAAATTGAAGTCATATTTTATCATAAATAATATCAATATATAGTCAAGGATTCTTTTTTTTTCACTAGTAACCATAATACACAATAATATCTTAATAATAGTATCAATTATCAAGTCAGTCTTCACATTTTCTTGGTTGTATCTCTCACTTATTTTTTTATATTTGTTATACTTGAATCTGGTTCCAGACAAGGTTTATACATTGTATTTGGTGGATATGTATGTCTTAAGCCTCTTGTTTTTTTTTAAACAAATTTATTTTTTAAGGTTTATTTATTTATTTATTTTTGGCCATGCTGGGTCTTGTTACTGCAGGTAGGCTTTTTCTAATTGCAGCCAGCCAGGGCTACTCTTCTTGCTGTGCACAGGCTTCTCCCAGCAGTAGCTTCTCTTGTTGCTGAGCACGGGCTCTAGGAGTGTGGGCTCACTAGTTGTGGCGCACTGGCTCAGTAGCTCTGCAGCATGTGGAATTTTCCCAGACCAGGGGTCAAATCCATGTCCCCTGCAATTGCAGGTGGATTCTTAACCACGAGACCACCAGGCAAGCCCCTATTTTTATTTTTTTTAATATTTATTTATTTGGCTGTGCCGGGTGTTAGTTGTGGATGCTCTGATCATCATTGTGGCATGAGGAGTTTTTATGCAGGATATCAGTTGTGGCATGCAGGATCTTAGTTGTGGCATGTGGAATCTAGTTCCCTAACCAGGGATACTAGGGATCGAACCTGGGCCCCCTGCATTGGGAGCCTGGAGTCTTAGCCACTGGACTACCAGGAAAGTCCCTCTTAAGCCTCTTTTTAAAAGTTCCCTCTCAAAAAAAAAAAAAGTTCCCTCTCATTTTTTTTTTCTTAAATTTTCTTTTTGTTGTTTGTATTGTCATTGATTAAAAAAATCATTTGTTATGCAGAAGTTTCCATACCCTGGATTTTGCTGATTGTCTCCATGTGGTAATAGTTAACATATTCTTCTGTCCCCTGTATGTTCTATAAATTTGTGATTAGATCAGGTTCCATTTTTATTTTGCTAGAATACTTCAGAGATGGGTTGTGTGCTTCCTATGTATATTATATCAGCCGACAGTGTTGCTTGTCTCTTTTAGTTGTATTAAGATTGAATCAGTGAGCTTCTGAGGCTATCGTTCCAACCCAGGGATTGAACCCAGGTCTCCCACATTGCAGGCAGATTCTTTACCATCTGAGCCACTAATTTTTCTCTTAGGTTTTATCAACCCATTAGTAATCACTGCCAAAATTCTTTACTTCAGTGGGGTTGCAAATATACAGTTAGAATTTTACAATTCCTCTTTGTTTATTACTGGAATTCTTTTAAGAGCATTCCATCAATTATTAGGTTATCCTTAGGTACATTTCACACAGAAAGGCAGGACTAATGTTTGATTCTTTTTTTTTCCCCAATCATTTTTATTAGTTGGAGGCTAATTACTTTACAATACTGTAGTGGTTTTTGCCATACATTGACATGAATCAGCCATGGATTTACATGTGTTCCCCATCCATGATTCTTTAATTTCAAGTTTTCAGAAAAATGAATTGGCTCCCAGTAGGGAGCTCTGATAGCACCCTTTCTGACCCTGGAGGAGGAAACGGCAACCCACTCCACTATGATTGCCTGGAAAATTTCATGGACAGAGGAGCCTGGCAGGCTATAGTCCATGGGGTCACACAGAGTCGGACACAACTGAGTGACTTTACACAGTTTACTTTCTGATTCCTCTTAATGAGAAATGGTATTTAGAGACCAGAATCTGGATGCTGTGGGTCCCTGCAATTGGGTTGGTCATTGTTTAAATTCTTTTCAAGTGAATAGGTTCAGGGTATATAAATTTTTTTAAAAGAAAAAATATATCATGGTTCATATTGATATTTCCAGTTTCAAATTTTTTGTGATAGAACTGCTGGCATATAATTTCTTTGATTTTATTATATATTTTCATTTCTTTACCTAATACATGTAGGTGAAATTATGGTTAAAATTTACATGAAAACTATCCACTATATGTGTGTAGGAAAGGAGACATTGTATGTTACATATTGCAGGGGGGGGTGGATAACAGATGAAAAAAGATTGGCCATTAATTGATAATTATTAATTCTGAGTGATGGATAGGTGTATGAGGGTTCATTATATTACTTTCCTTTTGAGTATGTTTAAAATTTTTAATAATAAAATCCTCTTGCATATTTATTGGATCATATTAAATTTATAGCATTATTTAGGGAGAAATGTGTTTCTTTTTTTATTTAATAATATTCATTCCATATTACTATGTATATAAATTCTTCATATAAATGCTCCAGGTGGAACTGCAGCATCATAGCCTACTCTCAATCAGAATGCTGATTTGTTACCTACTCAATAAGGAGTCTTCTGGGTAGATCAGTACTGTAAAGTGGAAAAAGAACACTTTCCAGTTAAACAGACTTAGATTTGAAGAACAACTTTTTCTTAACAGGTTAACATTTTTTAAACTCTCTGAACCTTAGTATCCTCATCTGAAAAACTGGTGTAACAACTTCTGTTTAGGGTGCTAAGGACTAAATGCAGTCATGAGTGTAATACATCTGGCACAGGCTAGATAAATTCCTCGCTTTTATCTACTGCTATGATTGAGCGTTTCATATCATTTTTATTTATAATAGTAATTAGCACTTATTGAGTACCTACTATGTGCCAGACACTACATGGATCTTGTTTAAGCCTTATAAAACAGTATAAGGTAGGTATTATTGGCCCCATTTTATAAGGAAACTGTGACATAGAAAAGTTAGGTAGTTTGTATAGGAGTATATGTTAGGCAATAATGAGGAATTACTGCCCTGTGTATGTATATCTTTTTTATGTAATCAAGACTACATTTTATTATGACATCAGTGACAAAGAGAAATATGATGACTCAAGAACATAATATGTTATAGGCACAGAATAGATAAAGACAAATAATATATGATATAACATTTATGTGAAATCTAAAAATTACAACAAACTAGTGAGTAAAACAAAAAAGAAGCAGGTTCACAGTGGGGAGAGGGAAGCAGGAGATGGAGCAATATAGGGATAGGAGATTTTTGAAAAGTGTTTTATGGCATTATATGAAATCATGTGTGTGAAACTTGCAAACTGTGAAGTACTATAGAATTTAAAGAGTCCTTCATTAAAAAAAAAAGTTTAAAAAAGGAAACATAAGTTTAAAAAAGCTTTGGTTATTCTTAAATTTGTCTGAAATGTTCATACATTATCTTGAGAATTCTCTTGAGTGAGAGGATCATGATTCAGATAAAATCCTTGCTAGTTCAGTCAAAACATTTTTTAATGGTAAATGAATAATTCTCTACTCTTCTCTCATACTTTGAGTAGCATACTTAAAAGTATCTATTTGGCTTCCACAGGGTCGGAATCTGGCAGATCTACGCCGTAGCCAGTCCCGGGGCACATTCACCATTAGCACTACTCTTCGGTTGGGTAGACAGATTCTCGAGTCTATTGAGAGCATCCATTCTGTGGGATTCTTGCACCGAGACATCAAACCGGTAGGGGGCCTTTTCCTGCCAGAGCTCAGAATGAGTTTGCTTGGTACTCTTATTAGTCTTATGATGTGTGTGTGTGCTCAGTCACTCAGTGGTGTCAGACTCTTTGCAACTCTATGGATTATAGCCTACCAGGCTCCTCTGTCCATGGAATTTTCCAGGCAAGAATATTGGAGCAGGTTGCCATTTCCTATTCCAGGGGATCTTCCCAACCCAGGGATCAAACACACAGCTCTTGTGTCTCCTGCATTGGTAGGCAGGTTCTTTACCACCGCGCCGCCTGGGAAACCCAGTCTTATGATGGGACACAGTAAATTACAAACATAGGTTTCTATGTTAAATACAAGATAATATTTCAATTTCCGTGGCAGAGATGTAAACTTGAAATGTATTGTAACTTGCCTTTTAATTTTTTAAAAATGATAATTATATACTGTAACTTATAATCAAGAGCTTTTCTCATACAATGAAAGTATTGCTCAGCAGCCAAATTAAAAATTACTAATGTTTGACTTACGTGTTAACATTGATGCTTACTTAGCCTTACACCTAAATTTATAGTCATTCTTTGGATTTCTTTTTTCTGATATTGGTTAAAAATACAGATGTATGTTGCTTTTAGATGTTGGCATTGTGTAATTTGAACTATTTCTTGAAAGAAACCATCAATTACAAAAGAGCTTGCTTTTTCTCCTGAGTGCTACAGTGCCAATATAGTATTTTTTTCTATTCTGGTTTCCTAGAAATTGTGATTTCTGTAACTGTTAAATATGCTTTTATTTTCTCCTTCTTGGTTTTTGTATTACTCACAGGGGAGATGACCCATTTCTGATATGCTGTATTTACTATAAATTTATTGTGTTGCTTGTTGCAGTTGAAAATTTTACCCATCTGTTGCTACATGATTTCAAAAATTAAACAGTTTACATGAAAATGACAGCTAAAATTAATGTAGTTGAGTCAGACTTAATGTAATATAGATTTTCCTGCTTTTATTTATATGTCAAGTTAAATGTCATTATTTGAGAACCATGGTAATTGAAGAGTTTCCAATTTGATTAGAAAGCTCCCTAAGTAGAATAGTATTTTAAAATAAAAGCTAACAATTCTGTAACAATTAGACTTTTGCTTTTATAAATTTGTTTACTTAAGATACCCATTTTTGCAAACTTGTGGTCATTTAATGTTACATTTATCTTTGTTAAGGGAAGAATGGAAAATATATTGTCCTTAAGTCTGTTATGTTTCCTTGAATTGTATTTTAACTTTTGCACTTAGTGAAATTCAGCTTCATGATGCTTATAGGAAATTCATTTCAATTTCTGGACTATAGATTCTATCTTGTTCACTCCTCGTTCTTCCCATTTTAAAAAGTAAGGGCTGGGTGATTGTTTAAGTAGTGAGTGACTTAGACTAGAATTTCAAGAAACTTAGAGTACTGACTCCAATTAAATCAATGTTGTATTTATGTAACTTTATAATAGTCACATAAATTTTTTTTGTTCAAGTTCACCTGATCTTAGGCATTAATAGATCCTGCAGCAAAATTATGTGTTAATATCCAATAAACATTGACTAGAGCAGTACATGTGGGATGTGTATTATATAGAGTTTAAATAGAAGAATTAAAATACAGGAAGGATAAGATATAAGGACTAAGTATAATAATAATAGATATGTTTTCCTTCTTTATTTTCTAGTCAAACTTTGCCATGGGTCGCTTTCCTAGTACATGTCGGAAATGTTATATGCTTGATTTTGGCTTGGCTCGACAGTTTACCAATTCCTGTGGTGACGTCAGACCAGTAAGATTTTTCATACTATTATTAAATATTTGAGGATTAACTTATTATAGTATCACTATTTTTAAAGAAATGCCTGCCAATTGTGTAAGAGAACGGATATCATCCAAGAAGTATCATATAGAGTTTATGATTATGTTACAGATGGTATTCATTAATTTTATTATTGAGTGTTACAGCTTTTAAAAACATATACAGAGTTAGAGTGTATCTTGTAAGAACACACATTACCCCTTTAGGATCAAGGGTCTTTTTTGCACTCTGAGCTTCTTTCTACATCATATACTGCTTCTGTTTCAGTTACTGTATTTGTCATACCCAGAATTTACATTTAGTTCTGTTTTAAAATTTCTCTTTAGTGATAGTCCCTGTTTGATATATCATTGCCATTATACTTTCCTTTCTTTAATTAAGCTTTCCTTTAGTTCTATGAACATACTTATAATACCTACTTTGAAATATTTTTTTGTTATGCCCAGCATCTAGTCATCCTCATAAGCGGTTTTTGTTGCCTACTTGTTTTTTTACATATATGGGTCACACTTTCCTGTTTCTTTGCATGTCTTGTAATTTTTGTTGTTGTTGGAAACTGGACATTTTAGATAATGCTTGCATGCTGCTTCTGCTTAGTTGCTTCAGTCATGTCTGACTCTTTGCGACCCTATGTACCATAGCCCGCCAGGCTCCTCTGTTCTTAACATTTAGTTCCTTAACATATTCTGAATTTCATTATGTGTATACAATAAATACAAATGTGTACTCTTATTTTTTCCTTTTTGATTCAAAAGTGGCATGATGTACATTCAGCACTTCCCTTTTTTTTCACTTTACAGTGTATCTAGGAGATCTTTCCTTGTCAGAATATAGAGCAGCTGCAAAGTGTGTATCTGTAAGACACATCTCCAGAAGTGTAATTGCTGGGTCAAAGAGAATGTATGCATTTGCAGCTTTGATGGTTATAGCGAAAGTCACTCAGTTGTGTCCCACTCTTTGCAATCTCATGGATGGTAGCCTGCCAGGCCCCTTGTCCATGGAATTCTCCAGGCAAGAATACTGGAGTGGGTTGCCATTTCCTTCTCCAGAGGATCTTCCTGACCTGGGATTGAACCCAGGTCTCCTGCATTGCAGGCAGATTCTTTACCATCTGAGATAGCTATTGCCAAATTATCATCAGTTGAGGAAGTTTCTGGAGATCACCTATTTCAAGGCTTAGTTATGTGTTGCCTTATTCTTAAGACATCCTTCGTCCATAGGACTGTTCTTCTCACCAAGTAGAACTAATTCTTACCACTCCTAGGCTTTCATAGCTCATTGTACTTTGCTACTGGTGTTTATTATAATCTACTTCCAATTACAGTTACCTGCATATATAGCTCCTTTCCCCAGTTAGGTTGAATTGTTTTCTCTGCATTATTTAAGGTGGCTGAATTTCCCTGACCTGGTATTATTTCTTGGAGGGATCACATCAAAATCTGCCTAGGCAGCTGATCTCTCTTTACCTCTGTCTCAACCTTTCCATGGCAAAAGTAAGGTCAGAGCCAGAACAAAGGACTCTTAAATGTTTTCCTTCTAGAAGGAGAAATCTCCAACCTCAGAGTTACATCAACCAAATTGAGGATATTAGATATTCCTCTTAGTCATGATGTCTTAGGAAAATATTGAGATCTGTTGACTGTGATTGTCAGTGAATGGCAGCTAAGGACAAAAAAGGGAGCTTAAATTGCAGAAATTTTTGATTACTGAGACGTCATTAAATACAAAGAACAGTTTAAAAACATTTAAATCTCGAAACTAAAAAGGAATAACTAAAGGAGAAAAGATAATTTGATGAAAGGAGAAAAGATAATTTGATGAAAGAAGAAATAAGTAGATAATTAATATGAATAGATTAAACACAGGTTGCAGAAATGAACAAATAGAGGAAGAACACAGAATGTTTATCTGTGTATAGCATATGACTGAAATGACTCTGGTAACTGAAGATTTTTAAAATAACATTCATTGTAATCTCTTCAGACTACCACATTAGTATGTGTTAATTGAGGATAATTTGAAATCACTGAAAAAGAGAGCAAAAAATCTACTAATGAAAATTATTGGCCATGATCATTTTAAAGTATTTCAGTTTTCCTGTTGAGCTGCAGCACCATCCGTGAATCTTAAAGGCACTGACTTGATCTTCGTGAAGCAGTAAAGTTGAAACATGGAGAAGGAAATGGCAGCCCACTCCAGCATTCTTGCCTGGAGAATCCCATGGGCAGAGGAGCCTGGCAGACTACAGTCCATGGAGTCGCACAGAGTCAGACACGACTGAAGTGATTTAGCATGAAATAGAGTGTATGATTTCAAGTCAGAAGACCTTGGTTGATGCCTGGTTTTATCACCTACTAATTCTGTGTCCTCAAACAAGTTTACTTTTTGGAGCTTGTTTCTGTGTCTGTAAAGTGAGCAAGACAAAGACTTTGCCATCACAGAGTTTATATTCCATTGAAAGAAGCAGGGAAAAACCAAATAAGTAAAAATATGAATAAAATTAATTTTAGGTAGCAAAAGATGTTTTGTGAAAAAAAAAAAAGCAGAGTAAAAGAACAGAGTGGCATTGCAAGGGCAGATATTATTTTAGATTACGATGATTAAAGAATATTTCTCTGAGGAGGTGACATTCAAGCAGAGGGCTGAATTTGGGATAGAAGAGCCAGCCATTGGAAGCATGTAGAGAGATGGTGTTCCAGCTAGAGAGAATAACAAGTACAAAGTCTTGAGCTGGAAACAAACTTGATTGGAGGGGAAACCTCAAGTAAATCCATTTTGACATGAGGCAAGTACCAGAATCATGGAACGTGTTGTAGGCCAAATAAGTAGAATTTGGACTTTATTCCAAGTTGAGCTCTCTGGGACTGGTATTCACATATTATGTAGAGTTTATTCCCAGTACCTGGCACATAATAAGTGCACAATAACTTGAATTTACGAATATGTGAATTACACGTATAGGGAGAGGTTCAAGTTGCCGCCATCTCTGAATTGAGTTTGAATGCTATAGCCAAGACAAAGAAGGTGGTATCTTGGTTTACCTAGACTTCATGTTTTTAATGTACTTATTTGTGACCAGAGTCTGAATATTAATGTATATACTGTGATGCTTGGGTTGATTCTGGGTACATGAAAGCATTCATGTTTTCTCATGGATAGAGTTTATTTATCATAAATCCTACTTTATTTTAAAATGTATTTAGAAAAAATGAGATTCATTGATAATTAAAATGGGACCCATTAATAGCTATTATATTTTAAACATATAGTTTAGAGATACTCTCCTCTAATTTTTATAATTTCAGTTATTAAAAAAGTTAGAAATTTAAGTCATGTTTTCTTGACTATAATACGTGTTTCTCCCTTCTACTTCATGAGCTCAAATGTGCTGAATCTTATGCTATTTAAAGCTCATTTATTATTCTTTGCTTGGTTTTGTAGCCTCGAGCTGTGGCAGGCTTTCGAGGGACAGTTCGTTATGCATCGATCAATGCTCATCGGAACAGGGTAGGTGTCTGAACTAGAGTCATAGCTGTCTGAGCATGCTGATGCTTGAATCAGATTGACTTCTTTACATTAGAGTACAGAGGTGTTAGTAACACTAATGCATGGTGAGGTGTGTAGTAGATATAGAATAGGTGTGTGCAGCTGCAGAGAAAATAAAATTGAATTTGGCAGAAAATATAATAGCTAATTATATATACATCTATGGGGAATCTTGTGTCCTTAATTAGATATAAGTAAGTATTAATACATTTATTAAAAAATGTTGCATAAATAAGACATCTGTGTTCTATTTCAGGAAGTTATTTGGGAATTCATATTATCCACACATAATGAAATGGAGGTCATCATTTTATCTGTAATATACATCTAATCTGTTATATCCTCTCTCCATCAAACATTTGTTTTTCATGAAGATCTAAAGTATAGAAACTTAAATTTTTCTTTCATCTTTAGTGAATTGTTCATCTCTTTTTGGGTTAAATTTTCAAAACTTCTTTTTTCTTACTTTTATCCTTTTGTTTTGCTCTAATATTTTTTTTTCCTTACCCTGAACTTTAGTTATGAGTAGGAAAGGTGAGTACTTTATGGATTCTCAATCCTTGAACTTGTTTGGAGAGAGTTGGGAAACTTAACATATGATTCCTTGATAAAGAAAAATCTCTTGATTTTTGTTACATTATTCTTGTGAAGCCAAAACTGCTTTAATTAAAACTTGACTGATGCTAAATGTAATAGGACGAGAATGCTGTGGTTTTACATGCAATGCTTCAGTTAACTTGGTTTCTTAGGATGTGATTATAAATTGAAAATAGTTAAAGTATTTTTTTATCTTTGTGAAATGCTCTGCCAAGCATTTGATTTTGATTTGATTCAGTGTGCTTTATTTTTTGCTATTTAGTTAATTATTCTATCTTGAAAAGAGAGTATTCATTCTCCAGATAGCTTCTTGCAAAATTTTAGAAGTACTATGCTTTCTAATTAATTCTGTTAAAGAATTTGTCCACATCGGAATCTTTGAAATGTGACATTCATTTTGAGATAAGCATTAACATGTTCAGGGATCATAATATAAGCGTTTCCAAAACAGCTACTAGAAAGAGATTATGTGTTTTTTTTTTTTTTATTTGAAGAGTAGAGATTTCTTCTAAAAGCCTTTCTAGCATAGAGTGATCTATCAGCTGTTCTGTTAACCTGCTTATTAATGTTGGTAGGGAAATTTGATAGCATATTGCAGTAGTTCTTACCCTTCTTTTCTGGTCCCAACACATCTGAGGAGTAGAATGCTTTATACGGTAGCACAGCTTCACAATACTGATTGTCAATGTATATGGTGACAGAGGAATACAAGTAGAACCTTGAGAGATTCATGTCTAGTTTAAAAATAATTCCCAGGTAATTCTAATATATTTCTTTCTTCCATGCTCTGTGACCTTGATTTGATAATTTCTAAACTTAATGCACTGCATTTCTATTTTGAGGGTACCTAAATCTTAACCTTTTTTGTTTGTTTTTTGTTTTAAATGAAAATAGGTTTATTTAGAGAATCTGAAACTTTTAACATGAATAATTTCCAAACAATACAAGGACTTTTCAAAATACTTGAATACTGTTTACTTCATCTCTTTGTTTTCCTGCATTTTAATCCTTTGTTAATATTTGTTTTATCGCAATGTATATGTGCTCCGTCACTCAATCATGGCCAACTCTTTCCAACCCCATGGATTGTAGCCCACTAGGCTTCTCTGTACATGGAATTTTCTAGGCAAGATTACTGAAGTGGGTTGTCATTTCCTACTCCAGGGGATCTTCCTGACACAGGGATCAAACCCATGTCTCCTGCTTTGGCAGGAGGATTCTTTACGACTGCACTACCTGGGAAGCCCATTTATTGTAATACTTTGAAGAAATTATTTTACTTCTGGTTCTGTGGTTCTTACTGAGATCTTTGTCCATTTAATTCTTGTTGAAAGTGAAAAGTGAAAGTGAAATCACTCAGTTGTGTCCAACTCTTTGGGACCCCATGGACTGTAGCCTACGAGACTCCTCCATCCATGGAATTTTCCAGGCAAGAGTACTAGAGTGGGTTGCCATTTCCTTCTCCAGGAGATCTCCCCCACCCAGGGATAGAACCCGGGTCTTCCACATTGTAGGCAGATGCTTTTACTGTCTGAGCCACCAGGGAAGCTTGCATTTAATCGTCTTTTTTTTCTTGACTACTTTTGGTATCTTCTCTTTGTCTTTGGTGTCCTGTAGAAATGTTCAAATCTGCCTTGGTGTGGATTTCTTTATATTTATTCTCTTTGAGATTTGTAATGCTTCCTAAGGGCTTCCCTGGTGGCTCAGTGGTAAAGAATATGCCTGCCAATGCAGGAGACATGGGTTTGATCCCTGAGTCAGGAAGATCCCCTGGAGAAGAAAATGGCAACCCACTCCAGTATTCTTACCTGGAGAATCCTGTGGACAGAGGAACCTGGGCTATTTCAAATAATGATCTGGTGGGGTTTTATCTGTGAGATTTCAAAGAGGCCTAAATTTAAGGGTGCTTTTTTACCTTGAGAAGATTTTCATTTGCATCTGTCATTACTGCAGAACAGGATCACCCAGAAAACACCATTTCTGGACTTGGTTTCCTGGACCACATAGACAATATAAATTTAAACCCCAAATCTGAGTGAGGGATAGGGCCTATGGTAACAGATTCTCAGGATGTTGTTTTTTTTTAAGAAAAAAAAAAAAAAAACACTATCTCTTTGATAGTGGTCAAATTTTACCAAGAATAAAAAAAATTGTAGAATTTTTATTGTAGAATAAAATAAAATAACATACATACCAACTATTGCATTAAACAAAGCCCTTTGAGGGTCCTAGGTATATGGTGGGGGTAGAGGTGGGGCAATGTCTCAGTTGCAACTCCTGTCTTGTGTAGGCTTAATGTTTTTACATCTGTCCCCTTCATGACTGATAAAACCCTGGTTGATAAACCTATGACAGATGTCTCCAAAACAGCCAAAACCAAAGCTTCAGTCTTAGGTTGCTTTTCATGTTTCCAGATTTCTTTTCATTTTGGTTCTAAAGATTTTCTTTGCTGCTGCTTCATCTTTTTTTACATTGTAGTAAAGAACACATAACATTCAATTTGCCACCTTAACCATTTTGATATGTACAATTAAGTAGTGTTAAGTATATCCACATTATTTTGAAACAGATTTCTACAACTTTTTCATTTTGCAACATTGAAACTCTGTACCCACTTAGCACTGACTCCCCTTTCCCCCTTCCCTGAATTCCTTGGCAACCACCTTCCTTTACTAATTAATTAACTCATTTATTAATTAATGGGTGCTTAAATACATTATTTCCAGTATTTCTGGGTTTTGGGGTGTTCTTTATATCGAAGTTTTCCAGTAAATCTGTTCTATCATGTAGATTGCTTTATAGCTATATGGATACGTAGATATACCTGCCAGATAGTTTTATGGGAAAATAAAAACACAATGGTTAGGCCTTAGACAATGTAATGTACTCATAGGAGCAGTAATGTAATGTTACTGAATTCTCTTTTGCTTATGAAGGAAATGGGAAGACATGATGACCTTTGGTCCTTGTTCTACATGTTGGTGGAATTTGTGGTTGGTCAGCTCCCTTGGAGAAAAATAAAGGACAAGGTAATTTTGAAAATGGAAGCATCAGTTTTGGTAGGGGAAGGAGTAAAAATTTCTCCTAGGTAGGCATTTTTTGTTGAAATTATACTTATGTATAAGAATTAACATTTTCAAAAAAAATTTTAAAAATTAAAAAAAAAGAATTAACATTTTCCAACCCTTTCACTATATCCTAATATGTATATTTTTCTTTCTATGAGCTGATATTATGACTTTTTCTATGACAATGCTAGTTTAAGTACAGCTGTCATTTCTGATTAGATTTTGAGCTCTCTTAGCTTTATTTTCACTAGTTCTCTTTTTTCTATTTTAAAGTCAATTAGGTCTTTTAAGTGAAGTAAGTCAGAAAAAGACACATACCGTATGATGTCACTTATAGTGTGGAATCTAAAATGTGACACAAATGAACCTATCTATAAAACAGAGAAAACACTGATGGTTGCCAAGAAAAGAAATGGCAGGCTTTTAATTTTTAGTTGTCACATAATATAGTTCAATTTTACATACACTTGAGACTGAGAGGCTCTTAATGTGTAGCTTCCAAGAGAAATTGACTTTAGTTCCTTTTCTCTTTACTTCCCAGGAACAAGTGGGCTCTATTAAGGAGAGGTATGAGCACAGGCTTATGTTGAAACATCTCCCTCCAGAATTCAGCATCTTTCTGGAGCACATCTCCTCTTTGGATTATTTTACAAAACCAGACTACCAGGTAATCATCTTTGTGAATTCTGTGGATTAATTCTTCTCTCTCTTTTGATATTTATCCTTACTCATTGTACTGTTGAGGGTGTTGTAAATGAGTATAGGTGGTTCCTAGAATAATACTTTAAAAAAAAATAATACTGTTTTAATACATCATGAGAAATGTGGTTAAATTAACTGATGATGACATTATCCATGTCTGCACATGTGTGTATTTTCTCCCTTCTGGATGAACATATGTCATTAAGAGTTTTAGATTTGTTTATCATGTAGCATTATAACTGCTCCTGCTGTGATTCTTTTGATAGTTTTGAATTGCTGATAGTTCAGATTATGTAAATCCTATATCTAATTTGTTGACCAGAAGGAAATGTCCAGATCAGTAATGTATCTGTTAAGGACTTGAGGGTTACATATCATATGTTAACATGCTATGGGACAGTCGTCAGTAAAGATTACTGGCTCCATTTTGTCTGTGGTCAGTGAAACATTTCCTTAGAGCATCAGTTAGTGAGGCCTAGTAAGGGTGACTAGGCTTACCAGAAATTGCATATTGAACCCCAACCAGCTAAATTTCAGAGGATTCTGTTGCTCTCAAGGAAAACTTGGTCAGAGCTTAGTGCAAGATAATCACTACTCCTGAAAACATAAATTCAAGGCACACATTGATTAATATAGTAATAATATTAGTGTATAAGTTTTATCTACAAAGGACAGCATATGGGCTTTACTGCCTGTTAATGAAAGTTTTAAAAAATTGTTTAGTTTTGGCTGTGCTGAGTCTTTGTTGCTGCATGGGCTTTCTCTTATTGTGGTGAGCACGGGCTACTCTCTAGTTGCTGTGTGCAGGCTTCTCATTGCAGGGGCTTCTCTTGTTGCAGAGCACTGGCTCTAGGGCTCTCAAGCTTCAGTAGTTGTAGCACGTGGGCTCAAAAGTTTCAGTTCACAGGCTCTAGATCACAGGCTTAATAGTTGTGGCGTGTGGGCTTCGTTGCACTGCAGCATGTGGTATCTTCCCTGGCCAGGGATTGAACCCATGTCTCCTGCATCAGCAGGTGGATTCTTTACTGCTGAGATACCAGGGAAGTCCTAATGGAAGTTTCATATTCTAAACTGTTGTCACTGTTGAAGACTAAAAGACTGTCTACTGCACAGTGAACTTATTTGCATATAATAAATATTTCTTTGTGAAAAATGTAGTTTTTGTATAATATATAAATAGAATATAAAGCAGAGAGGCAACATACAGCCTTGAGTCCTTAGAGATCTTAAGTAGGTGAGCCTGTGTTGTTCTTTTCTATGTGGATATTTGGGTTATAACATATAGGCTAACAAATGGCAAAAATACACTGTATATCAATCGCTTTGGAATATGTTCTCATATTTTATATACGGACTTTTTTTAATGTGTAGAGTTCACATTACTTGCAATGAAATAATGAAGTTTTACTTGTAAGACTAGAATCAGGAAGAGCTAGGAATTGTTCCAACTTTCTCATCTTGGGTGCTAATCATTTTTTTATTGACAAAGTTTGATGTATTAGTTCCACAGCAAAAACAAAGTTTTTAATTGCGTTCTCTGCTTAGTTATGCCTACATTCCAAAGAAGACTATAATGTTCACCAGCTAAAGTTTGAAACTTAGACCTACAATTTAAATTAACAAAATATTGTTCTCTGGTTTTTCATTTGTACATTCTTTTAGAGGCTTCTCTGTTATTCTGTCGCCTGATAACAACAGAAAGTATAGTAATTTTGTATTTTAGAAGAGAGAGAGCAGGCATACATTTTCATAACATTTTCTGGTTCTTCTTTGCTCTTTGATCTTCCGTAAACAGTGAGTAGGAGCAGAGGGCCGGTAGATGGGAGAAGGATAATTGGGGAAAAGATGTTGGTGACTAAAAGATGTTCTGATGACCAGTATCAGCGTGATATCAGGTTCCAAAAAGATCTGACCTTTGCAGTTTCTGTCTCCTGCTTTCCGCACAATGCTCTGCTGCAGTCTTCATTTTGAGAAAAATTACTCTACTTTGAATCTGAATGTTCTTGTGAATTAATGCTGTCTAATGGTTAATATGGATGTGAGAGTTGGACTGTGAAGAAAGCTGAGCACCGAAAAATTGATGCTTTTGAACTGTGATGTTGAAGAAGACTCTTGAGAGTCCCTTGGACTGCAAAGAGATCCAACCAGTCCATCCTGAAGGAGATCAGTCCTGGGTGTTCATTGGAAGGACTGATGCTGAAGCTGAAACTCCAATACTTTGGTCACCTCATGCAAAGAGTTGACTCATTAGAAAAGACCCTGATGCTGGGAGGGATTGGGGGCAGGAGGAGAAGGGGACGACAGAGGATGAGATGGCTGGATGGCATCACTGACTCGATGGACATGAGTTTGAGTAAACTCCGGGAGTTGGTGATGGACAGGGAGGCCTGGCGTGCTGCAATTCATGGGGTCGCAAAGAGTTGGACACGACTGAGCGACTGAACTGAACTGAATGGTTAATTTTATAATTTGTAATTCATTCCTGAATTTGAGTTTAATTACTGTTCTTTCAAAATTTTTAATTCCTTACTGTACAGCCAGTGTAGTTAAAAACAGCAACAAACCTCCAGCAGCAATCCAAAACCATACCAGTACTTGGTGTGACTGCTTCCCTAGCTATATCAGAGGTCAGATAAACAGTATGTCTCTAACTTCGTATGTTCTGAGACAGGACCAAAGGGAATATATATTTCATAATCAAAGTGTTAAATGATGTTGTTTTCCAAAGCCACTTTTACTGTGAATGTCTGTGGTTTGTGAATGCTTAAAAATCGTAGTTTCTTGCCAGAGAACATTATTATCGTAACAAGTTGCATGTTGTCAGCACCCGACCAGTACCCTGCTAGTGCTCGCCCTTGTAGCATGTGCAGACCAAGAGAGTTGATGCTTTCTACTGGGAATCTTATGTACGTCTCAGTTTGAATAAAGGCTGACATTCGCTTTTGGAGTTTGGGGAAATTACATCCAAGTTTGTACTTAGTACGTATGTGTGTCTCTCTTTGCTACTGGCTTTTGAATCCTAGAGGTACAGCCGTGTCTTACTTTGTTTTAATTATCCCACACTATCCTGACACTGTGCCTGGCACCTAAATTTTCAACAAATGTTAGGAAAATTGAATCGTACTTTGCCTAATAATCTCCTGCTCAAGAAATGTAAGAAAAATCAGCTCTCGTGAGTACATAAATCCTGTTTTCTGTCTGTTAAACTGAAGGTGAAGATGTTAAAATTGTAGTCAAGATTAAAGCAAATGTATCTTATTAGGAGTATGGTTAACCCTTGATATCTGCAGGGGATTGGTTCCAGGCCCCTGGGGATTACTGGTCCTCAACTCCCTCATATAAAATGGCAAAATACTTGTATATAACTTTCGCACATCCTGTCATATACTTTAACTCATCTCTAGATTGCTTGTAATACCTAGTGCAGTATAAATGCTTGAAACTAGTTGCTGGTAAATTTAAGTTTTGCTTTGGGGAACTTTCTGGATTTTTTAATATTTTTAATTTGGTTGGTTAAATCCTCAGATACAGAACCTGTGGATTATTTTTATTAGATTTCAAAAGTATAGCAACTATAAAAGGCAAGTGCTAGGCCTTGAATCTCCTCTGGTGATAAAATTGAATAGAACTATAAAATCACACAGTTCAGTGCAGTTCAGTTGCTCCATTGTGTCCGACTCTTTGTGACCCCATGAGCTGCAGCATGCCAGGCCTCCTTGTCCATCACCAACTCCCAGAGTCCACCCAAACCCATGTCCATTGAGTCAATGATGCCATCCAACCATCTCATCCTCTGTGGTCCCCTTCTCCTCCTGCCCTCAATCTTTCCCAGCATCAGGGTCTTTTCAAATGAGGCAGCTCTTCGCTCAAGTACGCCTGTAACTGGTGAAATTTGATAAACTCTCTGGATTGTAACAATGTTATTCTCCTATTTTAGACATTGTACTCTAGTTATTTAAGATGTTACCATTAAGGCAAACTGGGTTAAAGGGTACTTCTTTGTACTGTTTTTATGATTTCCTATGAATTTATATTTCAAATTTTAAGTTTCTAAAAAAAGTGCTGGGTGAACTTTTTCAGAAATGTAGATAGTGATAAAAAACATCAATCTTGCTGTTGCCATCTTATGATTTAAATAAATCCTTTTAAAGTGTTTTAAGAAAGAGAGCTATTTCTGAGGGTTGCCTGGGGCAATTTTATCTATCTTGAATTCCTGCACATCAGTGAGCAAATTGAGAACACTAATGAAACCCATAAATATACACATCATTGGTGAGCCTGAAACTAAAATGTGTAGATGAGCCGTTTCATACATTGCCACAGTATTGCTAACATCAAAGGACATGAGAGAGGAAGCCATCCAAGTGTCCTTAATCTTAATATACTCTCCAGGTTTAGGAATAGGACTGTTTATACAGTGCTTCCATCAAAATTCAGCAGGCTTGCCGCTTGCTTTGGGGGGTTAGAGGTGTTTTAGGCTCCTCTGACTCTAATAACAACAGAATTAAATTTTTCAGAAGGTACAGATGGGCTGCTTTTGAAGCAAACGAGAGGCTGATCTAGAGAGTAACAAGGGGGAACGTCCCATTAAATAAGGTGTTGGAAGGTTTCTCTCTCGTTCTCTCTTAAGCTGTCCACGTAAGCTGAACCCTAAAAAAATGGGACTATATTGGCCACATGGAGAGCAAAAACAGGAGGAAGAGGTTATAAGCAAGAGGAAGAGCATGTGCATATACTCCAATGCAAGAAAGGAATGAAAAGAAATGTACACTAGAATGTGGTAAATGAGGGCAGAGAGTTGTTTGAGATGAGATTGCAAAGGAGGGCAGAAACCAGGTGATACAGGGCCTTGCCAGTTTTGTTAGGCATTTGAGTTTATTCTGGTGCAACAGGAAGCCCTGGAAGTCTAATAAACAGGAACATGGTGATCTAATTTGTGTTTGAAGAGGATTGCTTTTGTAGTTG